AGCTGGCACGTTAGCTGAAGGCCTCTGGCAGGAAGGGGTGTTGAGCCAACTGCCATCAACTGGAAAACAGCACATGTGGATGAGCTCCTCTCCAAGAGATTCCTTCTGGAGGCCTCGGGGCTGGGGACAAGTTCAAGTTCAGGGGAAGGAGCTCACTGTCTGGAACAGGGGTCCGTGTCCCAAAGGCCAAGACGGGCCTGTAGAGCTCCTCCTGCTTCCCCACAGTCTGCCGAGACCCAGTGCCCGACGCCCAGGACCTTCGTGGGTCGGAGCACTGGTGTGGAGATGGACAGCAGAGCATGTGATGTGTTTGTGAGCCTCAGACCTCTCTGCCGCCAGTCCTCCAGACAGCGGCCTCTTCCCCAGCAGAACCAGCACTAACAGGAGCCGCTGTCAGTTCTGTCTGCACTGGGGATGACACTGTGAGCCGCAGAAGCTCTTTCTTGTGAGGAGTGCAACCTTGTCAGGCTTCTGCTTGAATTTCTCCAGCAACAAGAGGCTCACTCCTCCACAAAGCAGCCACAATCCCAGAGCTGAGAGGCTTAAAAAGTCTTCTAGAGCCAGACCCCCTCAGAGGCAGCCCTTCACAGGTCAGGTCTCAGCCCTCACTCCTCCTCCTCCTTCTCTCCCAAGCACAGGGTCTCAGTGCAGTCATTGTCTGATACCGTGGTCTGCAGACGCTAGTTCATTCCTCCTAAATGGACTGGACTGTCCACAGCTGGCTATAGTGTCCAGGTGTCACCTGGCCAGGGGAGAAGAAAGGGTTCTATGGCCTCTTACTCATTTTTTCATGCTTGCCTTCATTCAACAAATATTTGCTGAGTGACTGCTATGTACCCTGTGCCGTTCTGGAGCCAAGCGACAGACAGCAGTGTCACCTGGTGAACAGTGAGGAGGTAGCAAAGAGCTGGGGAGGCCTACCCTAGTCGGGCATAAGGAAGGTCCCCCAGAGAGGTGCTGTGTAGGCTGCAACCTGAAGAATGGGCAGGCCGCAGGTAGGTGAGGAGAGAGGCCTGGAGGGCGGGGAGCATTATGGGTGGAGGCCCTGGCTGCTCTGAAGGGCCTGAGGAAGGAGGAGCACTGGGAAGAATGAAGGATCAGTGCCCCTGGAGCCTGGAGAGGAGAGGGAAGCAGAGGGGAGAACGTGGAGAAGAATGGGGGACTCTGTTCTAAGGGCAATGGAAGCCCATGAAGAGTTTTAAACAGCTGTAAAATGGTCAAATTTGTGTCTTAAAAAAGATCTTTCTCACCCCAGTATGGATACTCAATTAGTATATATGCTGCCAAAGTGAGCACTGGATACTCAATTAGAAGGAGGCAAGAATGATTGCAGGAAACAGGGAGGGAGGTCATCCAGTTGTCCGGGAAAAAGAGGTGGCAGTGGGTGGCAGATGGTGGCCGTGGAGGAAGGTAGATGGATGCTAGAGAAATGTCAGGGGTAGGACGGACAGGACTGATTGACTGATAGATGTGGGTGGGCAAGACAGGGAGTTTCCAGGACTCCCGGGCTTCTGGCTGAGCAGGGTAATGAGTGGTATTGCTGTTAATAAAAGCTGAGATCCAGTTGGCTTTTCTGGCAGCCAGTCTCACTGCTTGCAATCAAGAAAGCCCCTTCAGCCCTAGCAGGTTTGGCTCAGTGGATAGAGCATTGGCCTGCGGACTGAAGGGTCCATGGTTTGACTGCAGGCAGTCAAGGGCACATGCCCAGTTGTAGGCTCAATCCCCAGCGTAGAGAGTGCAGGAGGCAGCCAATCAATGATTCTCTTTCAACATTGATGTTTCTTTCTCCCTCTCTCTTCCTCTCTGAAATCAATCTATATACATAAAAGCCTAATATGCAAATTGTCCCCACAGGAGTTCGACCGGGAGACCAGGAGTTCAATCGCTCACTATGATGTGCGCTGACCAGAGGGGGTGGGGCGGAATGAAGGGAGGCCGTAGCCAGCAGCCAGAAGGCCCTGATCAGCCCTGAAGTGGGTGGGGCGGAATGAAGGGAGGCCGTAGACAGCAGCCAGAAGGCCCTGATCAGCCCTGATCGCCGGCCAGGCCTAGGGACCCTACCCATGTGCCAATTTTGTGCACTGGGCCTCTAGTAAAAATATTAAAAAGAGAGAAGAAAACCCTTCATCCTTTTCACACATGCTGCTGGGACCCAGCCACATGTCCCTCAGAAAGAGACACCCTGCCGCTGTCACCTTCCCAGGTAGCCTGCTGGTCCTGCCCGACTGCTGTCTGTTTCAGCCACCAAGGAGCAAGGGCCAAGACCCCTTCCCGCCCAGAGAGACTGCCACCATGACCTGGCGGGTCTCCTGCCCTCTCCCAGCTGTGCTCTTGTTCATCCCCAGCTGCCCATCTTAAAAGAGAGTGCTAATGTTGCGGTCGAGAACAGTCCCTACAGATGCTTCATGCCAGGTCTGGGCTGGAAGGGCAGGCCCTGTTTGTAGCTTCTAGTCCCGTCTGGGGCTGTGGGAGGAAGATGCTGTGGCAACTGCCTTCGAAGCCCGGGTGGGGCAGGGCTTATCCCGGTGCATGCTGGTTGGCGAGAACGACCGCGTCTGGAGTGAGACCGTGGTGATGGTCGCACTACTTCGTGAATGTACTAAAACGCAATGTATACTTCTAAACGGTGAATCTTGTGTTATTTGAGTTGTATTACAATATAAATAAATGACAAACGGATGACGTAGGAAGTAGTGAATGGAGGTCAGTGCTATAAACAGGAGCCCTGGGTCCAGGTTGATGATACACAAGAGAAGCCAAGGACATCTTCAGAGGCTTTGGCTCCCCTCCGCGGGTTCCTGCTCGGGATGTTCTCAGCCTGCGCTCTTCCTCAGTTATTAACTGCAGGCCGTTCGGTCCTCCGCTGTCCTGGGAGTAGGCCAGGAAGGAAAGGTCACCCGCTCCCTCCTCTGGGACCTTTCTTCTCCGCTGAGCCTGGGAGGGGAAAGCTTTGGGTGCTGGTGGCTCTTCCTCCCTGAGCATTCTGGGAGAGCTCACCCTTCCTCCGTAGTGTGGGCGTCTCCGCTGACCCATCCGCCCTACCGGCCCTCTCTCTACCTCTCTTGCCTCTCCCTCCTCATCCAGTTGGAATCTGGGCTTTGTGCCCTCTCTCTTCCTTTTTGCCTCCCTGGGTTATCCGCAGGTTATGAGAAATGGGGTGACTGCTTGGCTATGGCTCAGGACTTGTCCCAGAAGCCACTGATGGAGGGACCAGGGTGCCCTCCTGTGGCCATCGGCAGCATTGCTTCTTCCCACCTTCTGGCCTCGCATTTTTCCCAGCTAGAATTTGAATGTTCAACTCTGGTAGTTGGGGCAATTTTTTTCTTCCCGAAGAGATACATGAAAAACAGTTTGGCCTTCACATGTAGGTGAAAAGAAAGAAGACAAATCAGCCGCAGGAACTAAGAAGTAAGGGTTAGTGTTTATGCTCCATGTGAAAGAGGCAGTGTGGCCCGAGGGAAAGTGCGTGGCCTGTGGCGTCAAGCAAACTCACCAGCTTGTGACTTAGCAGGTGAACTTCTCTGAGACTTAGTCTGTTCACTGTAAAGTGGAAATGATGACCACCTACCTCACTGTTGTGGGATAAGATTTAATGACTACAGTGCCATGAAGTAAGTGGGATACCGGTTTCCATTGTGATCATTACTACAACTACAGACTAGAATTAGGAACCATTTTCACTCTTCAGGGAGATCTGAAACCAGAACCACCTGCCTTAAAAGACCCCAGGGGCACCACTCACATTGTCTTCTCTCTAAAGCCCCTTCCCCGAGGTCAGCAGTGCCGGTTCTCTCCGCAGCTGATGCAGATGCCAGTTTGGGGACCCGCTGACAGTGGGAGGTCCAGAGAGATTTAGAAAAATACACGAGAGCTCAATCAGTGTGGCTCAGTGGTTGAGCATCAACCTATGAAGCAGAAGGTCGAGGATCGGTTTCTGGTCAAGGCACAGGCCCAGGTTTCGAGTTCAGTCCCCAGTAGAGGGTGTGCAGGTGGCAGCTGATCAATGATTCTCTCTCATTGATGTTTTCATCTCTCTCCCCCTCTCCCTTCCTCTCTGAAATCAATAAAAGTACGTTTTAAACAAACAAAAATACACAAGAGATCAAAATAAAACTTTTTTAATGTAAAAATAAAGCCAGAGGGGCCCAGTCAGAAACAGATTGGGGTCCCAGCTCCCTTTCAGTAGATGAGTTTGGCACCCTGCCTGGCACATGGAAGGAACCCAGCGAGTGCTCATATCCTTCCTTTCCTGTCCTCCCTCTGCTGGGGCCCTGAGCAGAGTATGAATATGGCCTGGGTCTGAGCCCTTAATAGTCACGTGGTTTTTTCCCTGGGAGGGGGGTGCAGTGGAAGGAACTACAGAGAGGAAACACCAGGAGGGGTCCACCTGTGAGAGGACGGCAAACAGGAGCAGTGGCCACCCTGTCAGGAGACAGGTTGTGCTCTGACCCGCTCAAGTGCAGAGTCCCCAGCAGCTCTGGGCCCGCTTCCCTTGTCTGCCCTCCGTGTCCCCGGATGGAGGTTCTGGAGCTCTCCGGCCCTGGGGAGCTTATTAAATCTCAGTGCCACTTGCCAAGACCCCTTTAAACCTCTTGGCTGTTCCTTTTGCCTTTTCCAATCAGCTGTATTTATTCTGACTAAACGGTCCTCACTGCAGGATGAAAGGATTTACTGCTCAAGTATATGAAAAGAAATCTTGGCTGCAGTACAATCGCACCCTCTCCTGGCTGCCCCCGCCCCTCCTCAGGCCCCATCCACTAGCTGGTGCCACGGAGACTGAACTGGGAGCCTGCCCTTGGTAGTGTGGTCAGCTTAGTTTGGTAGCAGAGCCCAACTGATGAAGAAGTGAGGTGATTGGGAGGAGCTTGTTTCGGGGAGCCCTCTCCCAACGTCTTGCTACCCCAAGGGAGACTAGAGCCCCAGGAATGGCTCTCGCGCTCGCTCGCTCTCTCACACACACACACACACTCACACACATATTTCTCTCTCTTCCCCCTCAGGATTGTGCTCATGGATGATGCCATGGACTGCTTGATGTCTTTTTCAGATTTCCTCTTGGCCTTCCAGATCCAGTTTTACTACTCAGGTGAGAGTCTCCCAGGACCCCTGTGGCCCCATCAGACCTCCTCTCCTCTCCCGCCCGGCTGCCCACTCCATGACTCCATCGCGTGCCCATTTCTCTGCCGCGCTTCCTTCGTGGTATGCTTCACCCCGGTCACTACGGGATGGCTAGTTCTCGTGGGGGTGGGGGGGTGGGCGGTAACAGGAGTCACTATACAAAACCTGCTTTCTCAGCGTCCTCAAGACACAGACACCTCAGTCGGCAGTGCGATGACATTGCTGAAAATGACAATGACAGCAATACACACCATAGTGACAATACCTGATAAATTCACTGCTTATAAAAAACTCACTGTGCCGGGCATAGCACTAAGGACTTTAACCCTGACAACAGCCCTGAGAGCTAGGTCCTTGAAGAGCCAAGCTCACAGAGGCAAGTAGCCAAAGCTGCAGAGCTACGAAGTGCTGGAGCCCACACTTGGACAGAGGGCTCATTCCCAGCTGGCGCTCTCAGGCACTCGCTGGACCACGGCCATGCAGCGCCACCCCGGGGCCCTGACCCCTATGTGTGGGCACACAGGTTCCCACCCAGCTTTAAGGAAGTGCAAACCAGTCCTGGGTCCCACCTGCTCCCCAGACGCACCAGCTGTGCCCTTAAATCCCTTCTGGAATCAGGGGGAATAAAAATAGACCAACAGCCCTAACCGGTTTGGCTCAGTGGATAGAGCATCAGCCTGCGGACTGAAAGGTCCCAGGTTCGATTCCAGTCAAGGGCATGTACCTTTGTTGGGGGCACATCCCCAGTAGGAGGTGTGCAGGAGGCAGCTGATGGATGTTTCTCTCTCATTGATGTTTCTAACTCTCTATCCCTTTCCCTTCCTCTCTGTAAAAAATCAATAAAATACATATTTAAATACAGTTCCTCATGTTGTGACCCAACCATAAAATTAAAAAAAAAAAAAAACAGACCAACAAATACAAATGCACAGCAGCTCACACACAACATCAAATGGAACGCTGGGTTTAGAAATTGCTGGCTATGCCCATAAGCAAACTTATTTAAAACGAGCTCTTCCAGTAAACAGAAGGCTGTCCTTGGAGCCTGGACGTGGCCTTCCTGCCAACGGGTGGCCCCAGCCAGCCCTGGCCTCACTCGGCATCACATTCTGTCAGGCGGGGCCTGGAGCCTGGGGTCTCCCCACCTGCTCTTCGCAGCTCCAGGCGTTTACTCCCATTTTTCTAAAGCTCTTGGGCCCTGGAGGGGGAAGGAGCAGCCATGTCTGTGAGAGCCTTTCCCCCTCGCCATCTGCCAGCCCCTCCTCTCGCAGCAGCGTGGGCCCAGCATCACGACCGCACAGCGCGTGCGTCAGTCACTGCTCACTGACTATGGCTTGGTTACTAAAATTCAAAACCAGTTTCAAAGGTTGAAAAAATTCACAGCTTGCAGGCTTTCTCTCCCATGCTGGTATTCCAACATGCATTCTTGAGTCACAGAGGCAGGTGGCCTCAGAAGGTGGGGCTTACCAGTGGGAGCATGCACACCTTCACTTTTCACAAAAACATTTACAGCCATTCAGTATATGCCAGGCCCAGAGCCAGGTGCCAGGACAGGGGGTTGACAGGCATGTATGGTGCCTGCCTTGGTTCGAGGAGCTCCCGTGCCAGCAAGGAGACGGAGTCCACAAGCTATTACTCAGAAAACTCATCACTGACAATGCCTCGAGGAACCCAGGGTGTGCAATTATGTGATGGGGGAACCTCACCTGGTGCCCAGAAGAGGGGACATTTGAACTGAACACACATGAGTGTCACCTCGCCTGAGTGTGGTGGTCACACCATGCCCTGAGCATTGACACTCACATGGAGCTAACAGGAGGGGACACAGTGACAGGATGAAGGATGTCCTCCCTGCCTGACCTGTGTCTCCTTCTTCCACGGTACCCAGAATTCCTGGAGAGTGTGGCTGCCATCTACCAGGACCTACTGTCAGGCAAGAACCCCAACACAGTGATTGTGCCAACATCGTCCAGTGGGCAGCACCGCCAGCGGCCTGTCTTGGGTGAGGCCAGCATGCTGGAGGGGGTCGAGGCATCGCTCTTCTACCAGCGCCTGGAGAGCCTGTGTGACCGGCACAAGTACAGGTAGAAATGTCCACGTGGACACCCCCACCACCACTGGTGCCAGGGAATGTGGGCCACTGGCCCTGGGACAGACCTCCATCAGGCTGTTCCCTTGGCCCAGGGCTTTTAGGGTTCTGATGGCACAGTGTAAGTTAGAACAGTGCCATCTGCCCCCCGACCAAGTGCTCCCTTAGGGAGGACTGCTTTCATTTGGGCAAGGCCACGGCGGACGACCAGCCTGGCCCCTTCTCCTTCCTGGGCCATAGACTGGCCTTGACGTTTTAGAGAGAAGGAAACACATGCACTGTGTAACCAACTCACTGTACAGGAAGGGAGGGTAAAGCTGTCCTGTGTGGTTCACAGTCCACTGGAGACAGCACCCCCACTTTTGGTTTCTTTCTAGAAGGGGCTGTTGTTACCTATTGCAATGTCTCTATCCCCTTCCCACTCCCCCCACCGACCCCGCCCCGGCTCCCAGCAAAAGCACCAAATGGTGAACATGACCTTCATGTTCACAGTCAAGGCCTTGCTCCCTGCTCCTGGACATCTGCCAGGCTCCCCCAGGGTCCTAGGGGCCCCAGGACACTCAGGTCCTTCCGAAGCCTGAAGGTGTGGATGAAGAGATGCCACACAGACTGGCTCATCTTTGAATCCGGCATGTATTCCCTCTTCCAGCTGCCCACCCCTGGCACTTGTCAAAGAGGTCCTAAGCAGCGTTCAGAGACTGACCTTCTACGGGTTCCTTGTGGCTCTCTCCAAGCATCATGGAATCAGCCAGGCCCTCGGTAAGCCGGAGCTGGCTGTGGCCACAGCCTCTTGTGGCCGCGCAGTACAAAGCCCCAGAGGAACTGGCCCCCACTGGCCGACTGGTCCCGGGAGGAGGGGCATCACCACCTCTGCCTTGACTTCCAGGGCCAGACTCTGAGGCCCGGGAAGCCAGGATACGCACAACACAAGACTGTGCCCTCCCAGACCTCTCGCACTCCCATGGGGAGGGACGGCCTTCCCTGCCCGCAGCCCCGCCCCAACATGAAGACCCCTCCATGCAGCCCCTCCCCAGAGAACCCCCAGTTCTATTTAGAGAGAAGCCTGGCAGACATAACGCTGTTTACTCAGGAGCACTGGATGATTACATATCAAGGGCAAAGGTGTGTCTGGGGAGGCCTTTTCCCAGTCAGGAAAAGAATCTGATTCATCTGAAAAAGAGCAGACGGAGGGGAGGGGCCTGCACTGGCCCAGTCTTTTCTGTCCGCCATTTTATTCTCACTGGCTGGCCTTCTCAACACTCTCCTCCCCGCTCCCCCACTACCCTGCTCCTCTCCCACACCCTTTGCCCTCCCAGGTCACCATCCAGCAGAGCTTGAGGGGTTCTTCTTTTAAAATATATTTTTATTTTTTTAATATATTTTTATTAATTTCAGAGTGAAGGGAGAGGGAGAGAGAGAAACAACAATGATGAGAGAGAACTGTTGATCGGCTACCTCCCGCACACCCCTTCCCCAGGGATCAAGCCCGAAACCCAGGCATGTGCCATAACAGGTTTAGAGAGAGGGAGAGATAGAAACATCAATGATGAGAATCATTGATCAGCTGCCTCCTGCGCACAACCCTGGCATGTGCCCTGACCAGGAATTGAACCATGACCTCCTGCTTCCTAGGTCGACATTCAACCCCTGAGCCATGCCAGCCGGGCAAGGGGTTTTTATTTGTCTCTCTCTGAGAGGACCCCGGTGTGCTGGGAATCCCCCATTCCTGAGTCCCAAAGAGACACTCCACTCCGAATTCCCCTTTCTTCTGCCAGTTGAGGGGACAGGGTCAAGGGAAGGAAATTTAACATTCATTAAATGCCAGCCACAGTAGGCCAATACTAGGCTAGATGCTTTAGATCTGATCCTGCTAGGGTGCTCTGTAGGTACTGACTGAGGGCCCACTCAGCCATGATGCCACCTGACAGCCATTATTCTGAGTCAGTGCTTGGGGCATGCACAGGTCTGGGGACACCTCAGCCCAGTGAGGTTGGTGGCCAAGGCCACCAGCTGGAAGTGACTGGTGGGGGTTTGCTTAGGCCCCTTTCACACTCCTGGGTAACAGACCATCCTCCCGGCCCCTCCACCAGTCACAGCCACTAGGCAGGAAAAGGAAAAGCTCAGGAGCATCTGCATCACAGCTTGGACCAGCCACATGCCCTCGCTATTTCCAGGGCCTTTAAAAAGGACAGTCATTCAGTCAACCACTTCCACGGAGCACAATGCTGGTGGAGTGGGAGATGGGAAGAAGCATGTAGTCTCTGCCCTCACCTGCTTCTCCCGGGCATGAGAGCGATCTGGAGTTCTGGCTGCCCCCAGGGCTCAGCCAGTTTGTTCCCTTGGTCGTCAAGGCACCCACCACACCACAAAATGAGGGAGGGCTCCGTGGGACATAGTTTGAAAACCACTTAGAGCAAAGGGGACCAGGAGGCATCATTTGAAAAGGCTTTGGAAAAGACGGGAATTGAACTGGAGCCAGGTAGGTAATTTTAAGCTTGAGGCTTTCTACAGACCAGCATTGTTAATTGCCAGATCTGGGTTCTACCAATGATCTCTTTTCCCTCAACAATTTGCTGGTGAGAGTCCTTTTATCTGCAAACTTTAGCTCCACCTTCCTTCCCAGCTCTGGGGAGCATCCAAGACTCTCTTCTCACCTTTCCCCAAGGTCAAAGAATTGGTTCCCCTGGTTTACAGCTGAGGAAACCAGCTGAGAGCAATGGGTGACAGCAGAGATGGGACAGCTCTCCTGCTGGCTCCGGCCATGCCAGTTTGGTCTGCTCCTGACCCGTGGGAACCCCCTTGAAGGAGCTGAGGCAACCTTTTTTACCAGTCTTCAAAGTGGGGTCACCCTGATTTGGGTGCACAAATCTAATTTCTGGTCTTTGTGGTTAGCCTGATCCATATCCTGTATCCATGGCTTTTTAGCCAAATACTGGGGGGCCTCGAAGAAGGCCAGCTCACAACCCACTATCTCGTCTTGGAAGGGGATCACTATTTGTGCAGCGACCTGAGGTTTGGGGATGTCTCCTTAGCTGTAGTCACTGCCCCGGGGGGGTGGGGGTGGGGGGGCACCAGGGCTATTAAACATTATAAACATTAAATTTATCCATCAGTACCCAAGATTCCCTGCCCCGATAGCAGTCCTCTTAAACTTCTCTGTAAAGCTCTTTCCCAGATCGTAGATCAGCAGATATCAAGGTGGGGGCACAGTGGCATCTGACAGGAGCCTGATTGAGTTTTATGACCCCCTCTACCCCCATTATTTCCTAGGAGCTTTGCCTGACAAAGGGGACCTGATGCATGACCCAGCCATGGATGAGGAGCTGGACCGTCTGTAAGTGTCAGGTGGGAAGGTGCTGCCCCCTTGTGGGAGCAAACCTCAGTCGGACATGGCAGTGCCCCATCGTGGGTCATAGTGCTCATTTATAACATCCCCATCAGTCAGGGAAGAACTTAGGGGCCAACAGAGGTCTGAGGTATCGTCCCCTTGAATCCCTTGGGAATATAGCCCCTGGTTTCATCCAAATGCAAGTGTGTGGAGGTCCTGGTCTCTGGACAGGAGGCATCTTCCTGCCCTCTGGGCTTCTTTCCTTCTTCAGGCTGGCCCAGATCCCAGTCCTGGTCAACTCAGTCAGTGCCAGTCCAGAGGCCAGCTGCCTGCCTTCCCGAACCCCTCACCGGGCTGGCTTTTCCTGGAGACCCCTCCATCACGCCCGCAAAGTGGATGCAGAGAGCGATGGCTCCACTGAAGAGACAGACGAGTCCGAGATTTAAGGAGTCTGAAGGGTCCTGCCTACAACACCCTGTACCCAACTCCTACTCCCACCCAATTCCTCCTGTCCATGTGCCATGCTGCCCTCTGCTGGCAGAAAGGCCAAATAACAGCCACAGTCCAAGACCTGCCAGGGGTTCTGATATCAGCCAACCCAAGCAGTGATTCAAGAAAGTTAGCTTACTCTCCCTGTCCCAGGCGCCAAGCTAATGGCAGATTGAACTGAGGTCGCCAGGAAGGGACTTGGCCCCATAGAAGGTTCATCTCACAGCAACTCCAGGAAAGGTGAAGACCATGAATAGCCACACAGGGCCTTGCATGGTCAGGGGTGGCACCGGTGATGCCAGTATGAGAGGACAGGATCACAGTGGCCTTCTACTGGAGAAAGAGCCACTAGCATGATGGGACAAAGCGTGGGCAAGACCATTTCACTTTCAAACACTGCTTCAAGCCTCTTGTGTCAATTAGCTAAACATGAAATGAATAAAGTCCCTTGTGTCTGCTAAGTGGTGAGTCTAAACTCACTAGACTGAAGGAGGGGGGTGAAGGAAAGGGGTGATTTGGGGGTTTTGGTGCCAGCATCTCAGCTTTTCCAGGAGGTGGCGGCCAGAGGACCACTCAGCCTGGAGAACTCCCTCAGATAATGAACAGAGGGGCTTACCTCTTGCACATGACAGCCTTTCAAAGGAAAGGTTCTCCTGGCCGGAATGGGTCTCCAGGGAACATGCTCTGAGGGTTCAAGGCCAGGTTCCCATGTTAAAGGCCCTGGCCACCAAGGGTCAGCACTGCGGAGCCTTCTAGCCAGAGTTTCACCTGCTCAGGGCTAGGGCAGTGGGATGCAGCTGTGGACACAGGCCTGAGGAGTACAATCCTCCGGCCAAGGCTGAAGGAGGGCAGGGGTCCTCCAGAAAGCAAAACCCACCCAGGGACCGAGCAGAGCAGGATGCCTCCTCTGAACCGAAGCCAAAGGTCCCACAACTGAGCGCACACATTTTCCTGGCACATACTGTAACCTCCCTGAAGTTAACAGGAACTGGCCCCTAAAGCCCGGTAGGGCCAAGGACTGGAGGATCCAGAGCTACTGAAGCTCTAGGACCCTGAGAGCTCTCCAGGCCCACAACCATATCCAGCCTCCAACTAGTTAAAAGCAGCTGGAAAGTCCTGTATGCAAGGGAATCCCCTGGGGAGTTTGTTTACAATGCAAATTACTCACCTCCAGCTTGGGGTGGGACACAAGTCTGTGATTATGAACACTCCAGATCATTCCAAAGCTGAAAGTCCCAGATCCATGGTTTGGAAGTCACTGGCTTAGTAGAGATCCCATTGCTCCCTCCACCCATCCCTTCTAACAATCCACCTTCCAGACTAGTGGTTTAACTACTCTGCGGACCCCTAAGATGGTAGAGATGTTCTGAGAGCCCCTATAGGGGAAGAGGGTTACTAAGCCAGGGCTTTATACACACACATCCTTTCTTCCTGGATTTAAAAGGATTCCATTAAGGTTTGTATATTTTATTAAACTCCACTGAGAAACACGTCATCAAGTCTACTGTTGGGATGAGGTGCAAGGCTGCTGAGGTTGCTCACCTGCCCCAGCTCCGGGGCCAACTAACACCAGCTCTTTCCTCCGCGTGCAACAGGGTGGTGAGGTCGAGGCTGCACCGGACCTCGAGGCAGCACAGGGCCGAGAAGCCAGGGGACTTTGGCTTTCAGAGAAGAGACAAGCTGGAGGCCCTGGAGAAAGTGCCCTCAGCTTCGGCACGGACGCCCTACCCGTATCGGTGGGAGCCCAGACAGTGAGGCGAGGGGCCTGCACTGGGCAGGGAGGCAGGATCCAGCGAGGACACCACTTCACTCAGACCAACGGGCCCAGGGCCCTGCTGGGGCTTTATTTGACACCACTATGTTTCAATACAAACGTCCAGAAAGAAACTCCAGTCCCTTTGGGGGAGAGGGTGGTGGGAAGTGGTCTGTGTTGCTTGGGAGCCTTACCCTCAACCCACAGGGGGTGCAGTGGGCCTACACTGCCAGCATGGCAAGGGAAGATGGCACCAAGAATGATACAGTGCATGGTCCAGTGACCAGGGGGCGAGGCTTGCAGCTCTGTAGACACCTCGTGCTCTCACTGGTGGGGTGCTGTCCAGGCCCCCCTAAGCCCAGGATGACGTAGAGGAAGAAAGCTGAGCCCCAGCAGCCTGCTTCCATCCCCACATCCCCTGCGTCCAAAGCAGGACATCACAGTGCACATGAGACTCGCCACGGCCACCAAGCGGGGAAAGAAGAGTCTCGAGGGGACGGGTCCTGTAGTCCACGTGGACAATAAGGCTCCGACACCCCAGGAAAAGTAACCTTCCCAGTGACCACTACAGAAAGGGGTGGTGGGACAGATCATCACTCTGGCCTCCAGTCTGATCCCAAATGACACCTTTAGGTACCAGGTCAAGTTTCTAGCCCTTAGTAAGGCCCAGATGAAGGTCCTTCGTCTCCCTTGCCCTCTCCTGGGGCCCAGAAGAGGCCAATGCAGCAGCAGCAGCAAGTCCAGAGCCTCCCTCCTCTGGGGTCTGGTCTACAGCAGAACGCTTCCTAGACGTCCCCGCTGGTTCCAGAGGTCAGGGACCAAACCCCCAGACAACCTGGAAGGATGCTAGAGCCAGCCCAAAAGCCTTAAACTTCTCCCTTTCCCTATCAGAGAAGGGCTGGGCCCAGAATAAGCCATCCTGAGGAGATGCCCTCCCTCCCTCCTAGCATGGCAGGACAAGTGAGCAGCAGCTTTGGGAGCAGGACTGAAGGACAATAATCTAGCACACAGGAGAGGGTGTGAGGGAGAAGGAAAAAGGGCCCCATCTATAGGCAGAGGCCAAGGGCTGGTTCTGCCCATCCCCTCACCAGAGGTCCTCAAAGGCACCCCACTCACACCACACACAAAGTAACAATTCCTCCCCAACCACAGGCAACAGCCCTGGCCTGGTAATCATGAGGTTTTTGCTGCTGTCACCAACATATGCCTGCGCCACGGAGCTTGAATCAATAGGAACCATAGCGATCCTGGAAATGGGGGAAGAAAAAACTAAGTCAGCACCTCCAACCCAGCACGCACACCCTCCCGCAGCACACCGGACAGGACTGGGATTGGAGGTGTGGGGGAAACGGGCACCAATCTCCCCATGGCAGAGATTTTTTTTTTGTGACTCGGGAAAGGGGTTGTGGCCAGATCCCAAGGGGGAATGGCCAGATCCCAAGGGGAAGCCCTGCCCAATCTCACAGAAGCTGAGAAAGGAGAAAGTAGTGCAGGTGATAAGACGGGGGAATCAGTGCAGCTGCCCTCCAGGAAAAGGAAAAGCTCTCCCTCGGGCTGAGGGGCTACCCGGCGGCAGTGTCTGGATGTGGCGAAGGCCAGCCTCCAGCACTATTCTTCAGGCCTCTCCCACTCCAAGTCAAGGAGCCCCCGCCTCACCTGCAAAGAATTCATCACACCATTGGCCAGCACTGCCATCTTCCCGGCCACAGACTTGACGCCCTGCTTAAACTGGGCAATGTCAGCTGTGGGGAGCACATTCCCCAGAGATACGTTGCCTGTAAAAGCAAAGAAAGGGGTGACCCCAAGGCCTGCAGGAAGCCCTTCCCCCTCTACTCACAGGCCTCACTGGTACCCACACCTCTGGTCCTTACCTGTTCCATGAGCTCCATCCATGTCCCCAAAGAGGTCTGAAGAGCTGATGGCACTACTGCCTGAGAGCTGCTGTAGCCGAGACCTGGCTTCATACTGTGGTGAAGAAAAGGCTGGGGATCTTTTTGCCGACGTCCCAAGAACTCATACAGGCCAGCCACCCTAGTGCTAAAGCCCAAACTAGTGACAGGGAGGAAGGTCTTGCTTCTACCCGCTGCCTCTAGCCTCAGGGTGGACAACTCTACTCACCTCAGTATCCACCTCCCGCCCAAAGAACATGTCAGAGGAGATGGCTTTGGCTCCTGCGAATTTCTGACGTGCTTCACTGGACTCGGGGCCTGAGCTCCGGCTCTCCACTTCCTTCCGGTTTGTGACTCTGAGAGTGGATGTGGAACACCATCTCTGAACCTTCCCATTACTGTCAGGGGATGGTGTCACTATCCCATTGTGATCAGAGGCAAATCTGGGGGTGCTGACCAAGGCCCTATCTGACTGGCTCTGGAACTGAGGGGCCCCCTCCCCTGGATGAGGCCCCTCCCTTCTCCACACTGAAGCCAAGGCAGAGAGCTGCTCTTACCGCCACGAGGTGGCGTGCAATGCGGTTTGGAGGGGACAAGGCTTCTGCCCCAACCACGACAGCTTCGTCAAGTCTAGGGTGTCTTAATGTCACTACTGCCACTCTCCTCCTAGGTACAACTGCCCGACACTGGTGACCATGTTTCGGTTGGCCTAGATTTATACTTACTCTCCTGGCATAACTATTAACAGCACCCCCTCTTACTCTCAAAAAGCATCCCAGTGTGGATGACAAGGTGTATGGTCCTACTCAGCACTGACATGCACAGATGCTGGATAGGTGTTTCAAGTTTCATTACATTTAATCCTTTCAGTGGCCCTGTGAAGTCATTACTTATGTCCCCATTTTACAAAGAGATGATTTGCAGATAATTTATTAATTAAACATACTGCCCAGATTAAGATGGAATAAACTGTTAAGAAAATAAAATAAGCCCTGACCAGTTTGGCTCAGTGGCTGGAGCGTTGGCCTGTGGACTCAAGGGTCCCAGGTTTGATTCTGGTCAGGGGCATGTGCCTTTGTTGCAGGCACATCCCCAGTGGGGAGAGTGCAGGAGGCAGCTGATTGATGTTTCTCTCTCATCGATGTTTCTAACTCTCTATCCCTCTCCCTTCCTCTCTGTAAAAAATCAATAAAATATATATATTTAAAAAAAGAAAATAAGATGGGGCCAAAGACACATAACCCTTGGGAGGTAAGGACTGAAACATAAAATCAGAGACCCCTCCTGCCAAAGAAATGGATCTTGGACAAGAGGCTGCTAGGCCTTCTGTGACGATAAGCACAGCTCAAACCAAAGCCCGATTCCTGCACTGTCTGACCCAGTAGCCACTAGCCACATGTGACTATTTAAACTTAAATGTAAAATGTAGCTCCTTGGTGACACCAGCCACATTTTAAGGGCTCAGTAGCCACATACCTAGTGGCTGTATCGCACAGTCCAGGTACAGAACTCTTCCATCATGGAAAGTTCTACTGGACAGTGCTGCCCTAGACCACTCACCTTTCTGAAATAGGCCGGATGCTTGAGATGGTCACTTCTGGCTCCTTCTCCTCCATCTTGTCCATACCCCAGGTGGCATCTGTATCCCAGCGGGAAGCAAAACTTTCCCCCAAGGAAAAGGGGTTGTCCTTGTACCTAGGGAGACAGTGGAGTGACTCAGAGAACCTGATGAGGAATATAATGGCCAAGTTTTCACCCCAACAACTCTTACTTTGGGGGTCCAGAGGCGAAAGTACCAACATCATCAAATAAGTCCAAC